CTACTTGGCTGCTTTCTAAGCGTGCTCAACCAAAACCATTAAAGATAAATTGAAACAATGTTACAAGAAAATGTCGCGAGTTTGTCGCAGGTAGTCGCAAGTAGTCGCAGGTTGTCGCAGATTGTCGCAATTAGTCGCAGGTAGTCGCAACTTGTCGCAGGTAGTCGCGGTTAGTCGCAGGTTGTCGCAAGTTGTAAGTTGCCCCAAGTAACCGCAGGTAGTCACGGTTAGTCGCAGATAGTCAAGGGTAGTTACGGGTAGACACGGGTAGTCGCAGGTAGTCCCGGGTATTCGCAGGTAGTCCCGGGTAGTCTCAGGTAGTCCCGGGCAGTCGCAGGTAGCACAGGTAGTCGCAGGTAGTTACAGGTAGTCGCATATATAGATGTATTGAAATAACTCCATAAAACCTGGGCGAAGCGATGGCGGGCTGTTAGTACCATTAATAAATTTTGTATTATTTTAATTAACACGTTTATATATCATATTGTTGTAGGGTATTTTGATATTATACCTTACAACTACATTTTTGCTATCAGTCTCATCATAATGAAGACCGCTGTTTGAGACGGCGACGTCTCATTATGCACAGAAACATAGCAGCCCGCCTACACGTCCCTAGTTGACTTCCTTTGCCTCTACATCGCCCTGTTGCGTCAGCCACCAGCCCCCCGGCTTGTTTAAGTGAACGAAACAAAATCATTGTTTCACGGCGAAATTATTAAAAGAATTGCATCTAAAAGACTTCTTAGACTCACAAGCTAACTGTTCGTACTGTGTACACGATCTAGCGGTGTGAAATCGACGAACGGGAACGAATACGTACTGTTCGCTCGCAGATCCCGGCACGGACATCCAACTAGCATAACTGCTGGGAACAGGCTGGGAAACATGGCGGCCATCCTTAGTTCGTCATGCTCGCGCCTAGGGCGCTAGCGTCGCCGAGCTCATAGGAAGTGCGCTCCTTGATTCTATATCAAATGACGGCGTTTCAATCACAAATTCTGAGAATTACACGATTTCTGGAACCTACCACTCGTGCTGATTGGTTAGGGCAAATTGTCACCCCCAACCCCTCCTCATGGCTTAACCTCTAGTTTTGATTGAGTATTTAAGTCCCCGCGGCAGCTTGGGTCAGCAGAAACTGGTGGCTGCTGGAGACGAGACCATTCCTGAAATAAGTATTAAAAAAATGAAAATGTACGGCTCTTAAGGCCAGTATGTAGAAGTGGATAATTGCTGTCCAAAATTACATTTAGTTGTAATTTTGTCTTTGGATTTTAAAGTTAGACCGGACAAAACATCAAATTATAAAAATTTTGAATTTAACTCTGTTAAAGCTAATAACATTACTAAGCTTTTTCATGAAAGAAAGACATAACATTTATTGTAAGAGTATTAATAATGTGCATACCTAAAGTATTGCATAGTGGCATTATAGGGTTTTAAAGGAATGTCAAACCTTTAAGGCTGTTCGGATCAAAATTGTATTCCAAATACCAGCCTTTTGAGAAGAAATATTTAACTTTTAAGGCTGTTCTGTTCTAAATGATATTTTAAAAATATCAGCCTTTTAATCGGAATTTGTGAATATAAATTGTGAATTATAATGTCTCTTTTGACACAGATTTGTATTAAAAAAAAGGGTACCTGATTATATATAGTATTGCTCAATGCATTTTAGTACCTATTCCTTTTTTATTTGGTTTTGAGCATAAATAAGGATTGTAGCATTGATGATAAAATATAGTGATTATTTTTCAAAGAACTTGTGTGTGTGTTTTTGGTAATTTTGCTAACCATTTTTTCTGCTTCAATTGGAGGTTTTGGTATACGATAGTTTGGTCGTGGGAATTTTGGATAGGTGACCTTACGTCGCCATACAGTATAGGACGAGGGAAGGGCCTCATGTTATAACACAGATATAATTCCAAATTTCTGACATATTGTGAGCGTTATGTCCAACTTAATAATAAATCTTTTTTTTTTTGCCTTCATACACAGTGTACAGATTGGCATATTACTAATGCATTTATGTTCTCAACAATGACAGGGTTCTCACTTGACTGGCAGATGAGTAAAGTCATTAATCCCATGGCAATGTGAAAATAATACATATGACGGAAGTATTTAAACTGAGGAGAAACTTAGAATATAATCAGGTCTTTCGAAAGCGCTCAGTTAACCGTGAACAGTACATAGTTTTTTGTCTTAACGTCGTTTCGACATGCCAATGACCCCGAAGTATAGTTTATAGCTCATAACGTATTGCCGCAACTCCAGTGATGGCTTTGCAGCCGGGGACTGGAGCAATACAAGCCTTGTAGTTGTTGTTATTGTTGTTGCTGTTGTATTAACGTCGTATAAAATTTATAATCTAAAACCTCACTGAGTTCTGGTCTCTAGGGAGGATCGCTATATAAAGACTGCTCGCGATAAAGTGAGCATATTTGAAATCAACCATACGAAAAAGTCACTGCTCTTACCTGCAAGTATTTTAACGGGCGCACTGAGGGACATGCGCCCAATAAATTTGATGACTATGGATGGAAAGTAGTTCCACATCTTAACGTCGAATAAACAGTATTCGGTAACCATTTGTGATAACTTACATTATTTCTTTCGCTTTCTGTTTTTTTATGCATCGAAATATAAAAATGATCAGATTTCTACAGTATAAACTTTTCTAATAATTTCAAAGTTTTACTTGACCGACTCATGAACAAAGTGATGAGACCCACGGCAACGTTAATTTTACATGAGGCATAAGAATACACAACGCGCATACAAGTAGATCTTAAGCAGGATTTTCAAAAGTGCTCAGTTTACTGTGAACAGCCTATAACAGAGGGGAAACCGGCTCTAGATAACAGGCTGCCTTACCCAAGGGTACAAACCTGTCTCTCTCTACCAGCTAAGGGGCCGTGGTGATGTAGTGGTCAGACTACTTGCCTCCCACCCAGGTGAACCGGGTTCAATTCCCGGCGGGGCTGCTCCCGGATTTTCGTATGGGGGAATCATGCTGGACGATGCCGCTGGTCGGCGGGTTTTATCGGGGATCTCCCGTTTCCCCCGCGCTTGCATTCAGGCGCTGATCCATACTCACCTCGCTTCACGCTTATCGGTTCTCAAGGCCTCGGTGTTAAAGGGACTGTGTAGCTGCACGTCCAATGTCAGGAAGCGAGGGACCCATACGGGCGACACTAACACGCACTCCTAGTACCTCATCGCTCCTACGCGCAAGACGTGCAGTGTTTCCGTCGTAACGCTGCACTGTGTAAATTAGATCTGTAACAGTGGGGTTTTATTACATGCGATGAAAGTACACAGATCGAACTATGTGTGTATGATTGTACTTTTCTCTTGCCGCTTAAGGAAACTGTACAGGTAAGCTTTAAATATGCCATATTTTACCACTTTCATGATTTTTTTCTCCATTAATACACTCAATAAGATAAAAGTAAAAAGATAGCGATGTAGACAATAGTTTTTATCCTTTCGGGAAAAAAGTCGTATTTCCAGAACTTTTTTTTGCCGAGATACGCGTTTGCACACAAAATACAATTCCACAGAAAATGTTTCAGTACACAGTTCTCTTAAGAGCCGCCCAAATCTCTCCACTCCATTCGGCCAGCCAGAAACACGGATGGAATAAGAGAGATATGGAGAGGGGCAGCGATGGAATGTGTGACAAGTGAGTCGTCACCTAAGAAATAAAAGGTATGCAGCGATTGGTAATTTTGAATTGGGCACTCGCTTATGAGAGGTTATTTCGTTATTAAATATATGGTTAGGCCGGCCAGCCATTTTTAATACTTATGTTTTGTATTATACTTATATTTAGTATTTATATTTTAGCATTGTGTAATATTTTAGAGTTTAGTTATAATTTTGTAAGGGTTTTGTATGGTTACTGAGTGTTGTAGAAAGCCAGCTGAGCGCGCGCGCGTCGCCAGCGCTGCTATTCGGGATAGCGGCCGCGCGGGGCGGAGAGAGTCTTGTACAGCAGCAGACAAGGTAAGGTAACATGTGCGAAGTTGTAGCAGACCCAGCTCTGGTATGGCGTTGCCTAATGAGTCTCAGTATGAGCTAGGGTTTTTGAAAATACGTCTTGCGTTCAACACTGTATACAACGTGGTTGGTTACAAAACTTGTGGAAATAATTGCGGAAATTAGTCTGCCTGCTCGTTCTAAATGCTCACGTCTTGTGTGCTGAGCTTGGTTGGAAAAAGCTGGCGAACTTCTGCGGAGCCCTATTTTTCTGCTGTGGGTCATCGCCACGAAATTCGCCTGGGAGCTGCCTGCGCGATCAGCGGGGAGTTTCGCCTTTGCATTTCCTGGACGGCGGCTTGCAGTTCGTAGATGTCCGCGAGCTGCGGACGCTTGTGCGGAGGCGCGCCATGTCTGCGAAATTCTCGGCGTCCTCAAATTGGAAGGTACTGTCCAGCTGTTATTTTAGGTGGGGGCAAGTTGCGCTCGATGCCAGTTACTGCTTGGATAATGTTGGCGATAGTGCTGTTCAGCTGGCCAAAAGAATAGTGACGTTATCATAATGTACTGGCTTTTTGTGGCAAGAAAAACTGTTCGTAGAAATTAAAATAAACAAATACTGTGCACGTATTTTTTCTTTATTTAAATTAAATTCCTGGCCACAGGTGTAGGGGGAGGTGAAAAATGATTTATTGTGATTGTAAAACACCGTACGAGTGAGGTCGCTTTAACCCTCCCCAGTCGCCTCACGCTTGGGAGTTTCAAATGGAAACTGAGGACGGAACGGGAACACCCTGAGTAAACCTCCGCACTACCACAGTGTCTGCCATACTCCCTACGTGATAATCCCCTCCTTCCCGTTCCGAAAATTTCCCGTCGGGGCATGGGGCTTGAACCATGGATCCCGACTGTGGGTGGTCTAAGTACAAACAACATTTTTTTTTTAAATTCCGGACGTAATTGTTTCAGGATTCCGGTGGTAGATCGTAGTTTTTAGACTCACCCGAATTCACTTCTCGCCCGGGACTCGAACCCGCGACCCCGCGCTCCGTAAGACGGCACGCGACCAACTGCACCACCGGAGTTGGCAACTTCTGAACCAACCTCGGATCCGTCTTATAAAATGTATAGTTTAAAACTGATTGCCACTAAACAATTTATAAATATAAGCTAAAAACAATTCACGGATTAACTTGGGGCCAAGCTGTGTTTCAAACTTTCGTATGTTATGCTACATTCGACATTGGTGCTCGCCATGTCTGTCCCCTACTGGAGGGCTCTCAGCCAATAATAAACATGCAACAAAATGCGGGCCCAATCATGGCCTGCTGCGAGAGCAAGCAGCCTATGATAAGTTGATATAAGCATGTGTATATAAAATACTGCGAAGTCTAACCTACATGTCACTGAACTCGTGAATGTTTCCCGTCCCTAACGTTTTGTGGCAATTAGTAAAGTATAGGTACGGAAAGGAAGATTTCGCGAGTTCGATGACCTGTAGGCTAGACTCCACAGTCCTGTGTATACTCGAGTCTCAGGTGTATGTTCATTGGCTTTGGCTTCAGAGAGTAACCTGCGATACACCACACCTAGCAGTATGGGATTCGTTACGTGTTTCCTTGTAAGCATGCTATTGGCTCAGAGGCGTCCAGGACGTGTTTAATAAAACTGTGATCCAATTGCAAAGGCGACTTCACTATATATGTGTTTGACGCCTATCTTGTCTCGAAAAGAATTTGGGAAATTTTCGTATTCTTAAGTATAGTCCATTCATCGTTACCTCCAACTTTTATGGAGCCCTGCTCAAGTTGTACTACTATCAGAATTTCCCTCCGCTTCATAACAACTACAGTATTTCTTACTAAGTATTACCAACACACCTATATTCTGTCTTAGGAAGCATCTTAAAACGTCATGCAGTGGAGGATTTTTCAAAGGTTTGATTCAAACAGTGTGAAAGTATAGCGAATAGACTATACACTAGTAACGTAGTCATGGTTTTGATTGCTTCACAGTGCCACGTGACGGACGTAAGGATGCAAATGTCAGTTTGTACGTACATGTGGCTTTTCAAGGATACGTAATGCACAGGAACTAGAAACTATGCAAGAATTAAAAAAAAAAAAAGTTTTCTGTTATTCGTGAACCAACTGTTAAACTGCTTGCATCTTCCCTAACAAACGAGATAGTACGTGCCACAACTTTTTATGGCTCAGCTCGTTTCACTCCCGAAAATGACATTCGTGTCACTTTTCAGCGGAGAGCTCCTCAGACTGTAGCATCTATAGCAAGGTCGCCGTACATTCACTGTAAAAATTTTTCCTGGTAAACTTCCTAAACTGCAATGGAAGTTTTTAATGTACACACTGTATGGAAATAATACCACACATCAAGCTGCAGATATAGGAACGTTTAGCATCACTACCACACAAAGCTGGGAACTTCCCTACGCATTTTGCTGTTTCCTGAGCCAACGCAGGAACGCTACAATGAATGTATAGGGGGGAGGGGAAATTACCATTCCGGTTTCTCGCTAAGCGTATACACTGGTATGGTAAATTTCCGAATGATTTCTCAAAATGTACGTACTCCTAATCCTCCTGATTGCCGCTTGTAAAAACCTTGTCTTCGCGAACAACCGTAATAATATTTACAAAAACACATTAATTATTAATTATATGCTACTAAAATTTGACAACCATGCTTGGCAAAAAACATAAGGCAAACTAAGAACATGCTTAAAGTTCAACCTTATCATACTCATTTCAATATATAGTTTCAGGTGTTGCTATTATTAATATGTTGATACTTCGTATACCTGAGACTACACTGTACAGTTGATCCAGCCAGGTTAACAGTGTACCACTTTATCATTTAATTTCTAGTGGATGTTCGAATCCCAGCCTATTACTGTCTTATTTATAAATAAAGAAGCAGGTAGCCGTGAAGTATATATCTAAGTAGGGACTATACATAGCCTTCATTTGATTTAAAATACGTGGTGAAAGGTTGCTCTTAATTGGTGCAATGTTATAACTCGGCAACGTCAACAAAATATCTGGAAATAATGCGGTCGCGGGTCCTGACCTTGATAAATGACGAATAATGGAGGCGAGGAAGGTCTAGTGGGTCAATCACCTGGAAACAATAGTGTCACCGATACCTGCTGTATAGTCTGCGCGCATGTAACGTGAACACGCCAGTCTTGCGGGGGGTATTCACTAAAGAGTAAATCTTGGCATATTCAAATAAAAATGCTCTACTATTCACTGTGAAGTCTGATAGCGTCTTCTGATAGCGAAAAAGTTGCTGGAGGACTTACTTAGCCCATTTAAAATGCCAAGAAATGAGCAGCAGCTGCGATAGGTGAAATTGGTGGCGAAAATATGTAAAATACGTAAGGAAATGAGTGTATGAAAATCAACAAAAAGACGAGTAGCAGAAAAAAAAGTTTAGGATGACTTTTATTTGTGCGTTGTTCGACGCACAGTTCAAATCTTTTATGCCCGCAGACAAGAGATACAAGAATAGGTCAAGGTAAACCATATTGCTTATGAAGAAATTTCTAAAGCAGAATTACATTGCGTTGTTAAATGCCAACACTCACCTCCCAAGTATTATGTAGATCGACTTATTGAAGCAGCCACGAAGTAGTCAGGATGCCGCCATATCAATGTAATTTGAATGCTATTGAACATACAGAATGTTGCAATATTGGATGACAATACTTTAGGGAAACATTCCTCACCTCTGAAGGACGAAAAAATGTTATATGAACATAGGTCTGCAAAAGCTTCGTTTCTTCAATACAGCACGTAATACATAACATACAGTGTATGGCCCGTTATGTATTACGGGCTGTAGTGAAGAAGCGAAGCATTTGCGGACCTATGTTCATATGAAATTTTTTCATCCTCCAGAAGTGAGCAATGTTTCCCCAAAGTATTGACATGCAATTTGGCAACATCCTGGCCTGCGGGCCATACAATTTACGTTATGTATTAGGGGCTGTAGAGAAGAAACGAAGAGTGTGCGGACCTATGTTCATATAACATTTTTTTCATCCTCCAGATGTGAGGAATGTTTCCCCGAAGTATTGACGTGCAATATTGCAACATTCTGTGTATGGATCACTGTCAAGTCTCGTGTAGCTGGTAAAAATGAATCGTAAAGACCCGACCATATGAAAGCATTGACAGACGAGGCTATAACCCTATTTCAGAAAAATACTGGAAATGTTTCTGTGGTTCCAGGTTTACTTCACTCGATTAGTTTAGCCTTTATAAATTTGTTTGTACCATTTTCAAAGAATTTTTTAAAAATCGTATTTGCATGCATTACAGTTTATGCATTTTAAAACAGCATTGGAAAACATATAACAAAGGTTAAAATCTTTGAAAGCAATTTACTGTTAATACAAAATTATTTTTACTGCGAATTTTTGTAAGTCCGCCGAATGAATTCTAATTAATATTTACTGTGCATATTGTCAATGATGCTTTAGAGTTTCAACTTCAGGCAGATGTTTTCCTGTCGCTCAAACAATTCTATCTTTATTAACTGAAAATTTAAACAGTTCTTTTGATGTAACGTTCTTATTCGCCTCGAATGCACATTATAACAACTGTCACAGTGATGTATCTGTATAGTCAGGGAGCATTAACCCATTTAAACTTATTATGCCATATGATAAACGATAGGTAGGGGCACCCGAATATCGAGAAAAGATTTCACGACCAGTTGTGTTCCATAACACTTCAGCTCAGATACACTTCAGCGATTGGATGGTCTAGGTGTTACTCGTCTTAGGTGTCTGCCCGCGAATCACAGATGTATAGTGACGGAGTAGCCGTATTCTGATTGGCCAGTCAAATAAGGCAATGTCTCCTCACAGATACACGTCGCCGATAAGCAAACTAATACTGCTATTATGGCCATTGGGTAGTGAAATCTAGCACTTGCGGCAATCTTTTCTCGAAATACTGGTGTCCCTAACGATAAGGAAATCACACCACTGTTTTCGACATTGCCAAATGTGTCGCAGACGGTCCATGATTGTTTTTACTGGGTGTATCGCTCTTCCCCCCCCCCCACCCGCCGCCCGAGGAGTGCACGATTTGCACTTTCCTCTCACAAGATTGTTTGTTTAATGTGGTCGCACTATACCTCAGATGACTGTAGGCTTTGAGTTCCGGTTCACGATAATGAATATAATTGTGCACGGACCTTTACAGTGTACAGTGGAAGCCGAAAATTTCCTATTTTGTGTTGGTTACTTCTGTTTTGTAGAATTAATTATGCGGCGAAAATAAAATTGATTTCATTGCAAATCATGGACAGTCGGAGTAAGTTGTTTGGCTGACATTTATCTGCTTTGCGTACTTGGCATTCACTTCAACAGCTGTACGCCTCACGTTATTGCATACTGCAGGGGAAAAGGCAGTGTAGTGTCGATGTCGCCCGAGACAAGATGTAGGTAGGTAGTTGGGCTTAACGTCTCATCGACAGCGAGGTCATTTGGGATGGTGCAAGTTGCGCAAGGGGGAGGGATTGGGGAAGGAATGGGAATGACTCAAGGGGCCCATCCCAGCATTCGCCTGGAGCGATTTCGGAAAACCATGGAAGGCCGAAATCAGTATGGCCGGACCGGGGATCGAACCCGGGTCCTCCCGAATGCGAGTCCAGCGAGTTACCACTGCGCCGCCTCGCTCTGTCCGAGACAAGAGATATGCAATTAACAGGCTCGGAGAAACAGGAAAACTACCAATTAGCGACCTTGAGGAGAGAGTGCGAAAGGGTTAGGGAAGGAAATCATTTCCTCCCAGGATGGCACGGATCTCAAAACCTTGGCCTTTTCGCGTTCGCCTCATCAAAGACGGTGTTTATCACACAAGGCGCATCTTCCCACCTCTTTGGCCATTAAACATTTTTATCGCGTCGCCTTTCTCTACCCACCGCCCCTGAGCGTTCTCTATTTCCTTTACTTTGTGCGGCAACTCGGGCATGGCCAGCGTCGCACCATCGCCACATAAAACTGCCGCTGGAGGGGGCCGCCCAGATCCCCCCGGGAAAACAAAAGGGTT